AGGTTTGTCTCCCTCTCTGTTTGAAACTATTTTCTTTTTCCCCTTCCCCTCTCCCATGGTCTTCTGTTAAGTGTCTCAAATTCCACATATGAGTGAAAACATACAACATCTGTCTTTCTCTGACCTATTTCACTTAGCATAGCAGTCTCCGGTTCCATCCACATTGTTGAAAATGGCAAGACAGACACATGAAAAGATGCTCAAAATCGCTCATCATCAGGGAAATACAAATCAAAACCACAATGAGATACCACCTCCGTCAGAATGGCTAAAATTAACACCTCGGGCAACAACAGATGCTGGCGAGGATGTGGAGAATGAGGAGTCCTCTTGCACTGTTGGTGGCAATGCAAGCTGGTGCAGTCGCTCTGGAAATCAGTGTGGAAATTCTTCCAGAAATTAAAAATAGAACTACCCTACGACCCAGCAGGAGCGCTACTAGGAATTTATCCAAAGGATACAGGAGTACTGATTCACAGGGGCACATGTACTCCAGCGTTTATAGCAGCGCTTTCAACAATAGCCAAATAATGGAAAGATCCCAAACGTCTATCCACCGATAAATGGATAAAGAAGATGTGGTGTATATATATACAATGGAATACTACTTGGCAATGAGAAAGAATGAAATCCGGCCATTTTAAGACCATTACTTCCAACTTACCCACTTTGGACCTTGAGAAATTTGGCTTGCTTTTGAGTGTCTATTTCCTAAACTAACGAGTAGCAATAACACCAAGCATGGGCTTGCCGTTAGGACTAAATCAGGTAGTGTAGGTAAGGTTCTTAGGACGTGGTTCTCAACAATACTCCCTTTGTGCTTAGCTCTAGTTAGTCATGATATTTGTGTTTTGTGAATAGTCATCGTAGTCCGTTTCATAAAATACCACTTCATTGCTACATATATAGCTGGTGGGTTGTTTCCATAGGCTAAGCTGCTTTTTTTTTTTTTTTTTTAATTGGTATTTCCCTCAGTTTTTACTGGAAAGTAGCAAGAAAGAGCTAACAGAGGGAGCTTTGAGGCCTACCCTAAGAGAAAACCTGTACATTGACAGAGTAAGAGAAGTCAGCGAATCTTACAGGACATCGCCATTTTCCATACAACGAAGCGTGTCAGGACACACAGCTTGGGTCACTTTTCTTGTGACTTAATTCTCTTTGCTTTCTTCTAAACTAAACTGTCCTTGTTAGTAGGAGCATAACACCAAAAATAATATAGATTTGTGTCTGTACATGTTTTTTTTCTGCTCCCCTGTTGGTTTTTCATCAAGCAAAGGGCCTGGAGAATAATATTGTCACACTTGCAAATCTCAGCGTGGAAAGGTTTCTTTCTGGGTTGTCTATGATAGTTTGTTTGGGCCTGGCTTGAAGAAAGACCGCATCTTAAACACATCTCCCTAGGATCTGGTCAAGAAAAAATAATTCTCATTCCTTTGCCTTTTTGGTGCTTGTGGCTTCCGTAAACTAGAGGAGCTTTGTAGGCATAGGAAGTGACGTGCGAAACGGTACATTTTTGCCACAGTATATTTTTAATCTCTCCATTGTCTTTCGTTAACTCAGATCTTAGGATTACCCATCTATGGATTCGGCCTTGTGTTGGTCTCTCCTTTGTTGAATTTTTTTATTCATTTTCTTATTTATTTGATATTTACGTACTTACTCAGATTCATCTGGAATTATTTCCTCTGTGGGAGACCGGTATGCGCAGGGCCTTGTAACTTTCCCCGTGTACCCCAAGTGTTCGTTGTTCTTAGACCAGTTTTGTTTGTTACTTTTTTAGCTCAAAATTATAATATTATATGCCAACAGTATACACTGAGAAACTCCAGCTACGTAAGCTACAGGTCGAGTTTTCATTTCTTCAATGGGGAGGGACTGTTTTCCAACACAGTCTCACACAGGCTTCTCTTCTCTTCACAGAGCTCTTAATTCAGCAGATCCTCTCGCAGAGCACAGCCAAGTCTGTCTTCCTACACAGGCCTTCAGATCCCAGAACCATGAGCCACAAGCTCAGCTGGGCTGATAGCCCTCTGGTCCCCTGGGTCTGATAGCCCCGTGGTCCCCTGGGTCTGACAGCTGCGTATTTCATGCTGCCAAGTAAATAGTCATTTATCAGTAGGTTATTTACAAATATTTGCTTCCAGCGTTTGGCTTGTCTTGTTATTCTCTTACCAGTTTCTTTCTAAGAGCAGTTCTTAACCTTGAAGAAGTCCAATTATTAGTTCTTTTCTTTTTATGATCATGCCGTTTAGCACTGTATCAAAGAAATGTTCGCCTAACCTAAAGTCACAAAGATTTCCTCCTATGTTTCCTTCTCGAAGTTTAGGTTTTACATTTAGGTCTGTGATCCATTTTGAGTCAACTTTGTATAGGGTGCAAGGTGAGGGTAGTCGTGCATTTATTTGCGCGTGGGTGTCCAGTCGGCCTGGCACCGTCTGTCACCTTTACTGTCCTTTCTGCACCACCTTGCCCCTGCGCACCTGTTGAAAACCAGCTGACATTTAAGAGCATCATGGCCTCTTGACAAATCGACCCCCTTTATCATTCAAAATTATCCTTCTTTTACCCCTGCTAATAGTCTTTGCTCAAAATCTACCTCATCTGATAGTAATACAGCCACCCCAGCTTTCTTTTGAGTGGTATTAAATGGTATAAAATTTCCATCATTTTACCTCATCTGGGTCTTTATTTTTAAGGTAGGATTTTTTGGTAAAACGCATAAGATGGGTCTTGTTTTTTATCCGGTCTGGCAATTTTTGCCTCTTACCCAGAATGTTTCAACTATCACATTTTATGTTTAAGGATAAATCCCCCGTCTTGTTGCTTTCTGTTTTCTTCTTTATTTCCTTTTACCTCTCTTTCTTCCTTTAAAATGGAATGGTTTTTTTTTTACGATTTTAATTTATGAAACAGCTTTTAACTTACTAAACTCTTCTCCATGAAGAGTTCTTTAAGTTTCATAATGAACCTGTTCGATAATATATAAGGACGCAACTAATTCGTTTGCAGGATTAACTGATACTCACCAGGGGAGATGGAAAGTTATGTGAATTTAAGCCAAAAATATTAGTGGCTAGGGAACAAAGCTCCGAGTGTGATGTTTAAGAACAGCCAGTACCACGTTTATTCCATTTGGATGGAACTGCGTAGTTTTCGGCATATCTTTTTCGAATAGTGTAACTCAAAATCTAAGTATTGAAATAAATCAAACTGAACCCAGACCTTAACATCACCGTGGCACAAATTATTAAAGAAAAAGCTTGACAACTGACAACATACATGTAATTCGTGCTTTCATTTTAAAATATGTGATTGTTTAAAAAAAAAAAAATAAAAATAAAATATGTGATTGTTTAATAAGAACAAAAAGTCTTATTCAGTAATAAAATATTAAAAAATACATACTTTCTATTTTTTATCTTTTTAAATTTCTATTTTAGTATAAACAATATATCCACACATTGTATGTGCATGTAATTGCTAAAGGAGTATACATTTATTAGGCATGCATCTCTAAAATTCTTTTACTGATAAAGGACTTCACGATTAAACATTGTCGAGACTGCGTGGACCCGAGGACTTTGACGTCACCAAGAATTAAGATAAATATATATTTTTTAATTTTTTAATCTTTATTTATTTTTGAGAGAGAAAGACGCAGAGGCAAAGTATAAGCAGGGAGGGGCAGAGAGAGAGGGGAGACACAGAATCAAAAGCAGGCTCCAGGCTCTGAGCTGTCAGCACAGAGCCCGACACGGGGCTCGAACCCACAAACTATGAGATCATGGCCTGAGCTGAAGTCAGACGCTTAACCGACTGAGCCACCCAGGTGCCCCTAAGATAAATATTTTTAAAAGAAGATTTAGAAAAACAGTCTCAACTCCTGACT